AAAAAACAAAAAAGCCTTTGGCCGTGATTGCAGTTGGATACACTTTTGGAGTGCTCGTGCGAGTTTGCCCTCAGTGAGGGCACTTCAGCAGAACGTAGAACACGGAGAGCAGGACTGTCGGACCCTCAAAAAAATAACCAAAAAAAAAAGTATTTTCTTTTCTTTTCTTTTCTTTTTTCCCTTCCGGCAGACCGCTGGCACCAGTGCCACTTCCGAAATTCCCACTGCAGGTACCCTCATGCAGAAGGCTCGGAAAATAGTGGCGCGCAGTCGGCAGAGCAGGACTGTCGGACCCTCAAAAAAAGAACAAAAAAAAAAAGTATTTTCTTTTCTTTTCTCCCTTCAGGCAGACCGCCGGCACCAGTGCCACTTCCAAAATTCCCACTGCAGGTACCCTCAAGCAGAAGGCTCGGAAAATAGTGGCGCACAGTGGGCAGGTAGGTTCGGGATTTTAGGTGTGGGTGTACTGGTGGTTTATGAAGAACAGGGCTCTCCAGGAAGGGGAGGTACACACAGACAGTAGAGAGGGGAGGGGACTGAGAAATAAGAAAGGGAAGGAACAGTGCCAAGGGAGTTGAAGTCTTGCGGATGAAAAAGGGTACGTATAACCGAGCTCATACGGCTGAATGGTACAAAAAGACATGTAACCATTGGTGAACAGTTGCTGAGTTGAAACCCTTACAGCGTCACATGGATGGATACAATTATGTTAGCCGCCACATGCCGCACAAAGAGTATGTATGTGCCTTGGAGCAGCAGCGAGGATGGGGGGGCGGGGGGGGTCAAACTCATCCACCCAGTCGAGAACGCAATTGCAATCCACATCGAACACTACCTTCTTCTACGATCGTTATTGCCATATTTAGACAGAAAGGTACCCTAATTGCACCTATGATAACCGTATGTTGTATTCGGGTGAAGAAGGTAGTAGTACCTTGCCTCTACCATCTTCCCGTGTACACAAATGTGCCCGCATCATGAATGCATACAACTTATCTTTCCCATCCTCTGCTGTCATGATGAGGGTGCGCTATGTTCGTGGAATGACAGTAGATCCATCGTATGTAAGCACATAACACTACTGACTGCTGATGAACAGAGCAAGACTTTTTCTTTTGCGTTTTCTATTCTCAATCTGTGTATCATCATCCTTGTGCAGGGGTCATATTAATCTTCCGTGTATCGTTCCAATTACAACGGATTCACCAAAGGACTACACATAAAGACTTCAGACCCTGCTGCATGACATGATTCCCCGTGCTACTCCTCGCTTTCAATGTTCGTGAAGACAAACGTGCAGGTGTAACATGAACACAAGATGTCTCTTGCTCTGTATGTCGTCTGTTTTTTCGTTCCTCCTGCCGGTATTAAGATCCCACCACAGAACTGAAAGGCCTAAAACGCCGGTCATTCAGAGTTATTATCCTTATCTGATTCCATCAGGATTTGATCTCAGGTCTGTCTATCAACAGTTACACGCACGAGTGTACCCTTCAGCCACAAGGGCTGAATCTATACGCTATACGTAATTCTGCTCGCGCTCCCTCCGCACTTCCTGCGAGTCACAGAAGACAACTCCTGCAACGAACACATGGCCCCTAGTTTTCTGTCTCCCCAGTAGGATTCAAACTCGTGATCTGTTTCATGAACAGTTACATTTGTTCAGGAACGATTACGCATCAAATCTTGCACGTCGCGGTATCCTGTTTGAAGGGTGGGGGAAGGGAAGCCCCTAATGTTCTCTGTGTCCATCAGGATTTGAACTGGCAATCTGTTTTATGAACAGTTGCATTTGATAACAACAGTTAGATATCAAGATCAAGTCTTGCACGTCATGTCACGGTATCACGCTTGAAAAGCGACACAGTTTTCTGCATGCTGCGCCTGCGTGCCTACTTGCCTGCCTGCTTGCATACCTGGCTGCCAGTGCACCTGGTCACCTGTATGCGTACCTACCTGCCTGCTCGCTTCCCTGCCTCCTGCCTACCCCCCTGCCCACCTGCTTGCCCACCTGCTCCTTGCCCGCCTGACATGCCCTCCCGACTGCGTGCCCACCTGCCAGATCATGGATGATGCAATGACGATACGGATGATGATATGATGATGATAAGATGATGATGAGTTTGACTCGATGACGAAAGTGATGATAATTAAGATAATGATGATGATGATTGATGGGATCGATGATGATGGACAATGCTGGAATCCGATGATTACCGCGACGACAATGAGGATGACGAGGATGATCATCATCATGATGATCTGGCAATGATTACGTTGGATGATGAGAACGATAAGGTTGATGACGATTACCACAATGATGACGACAAGTACGGCCTTCATCAAGATGGTGGTGTACCGTATCTGAAAAACAACAAAGGTGCCCACCAACGGGGTTGAAGAAAAAGATAATTGCAATGATGATTACAGTGGCGGTGACGACATCTCTGCCCACCTTTCTTACTTTTTTCTAGTTGTTTTCTTTCATCTCCGTGCGACAAATACGAACAGAAAGAATTCCGCCATGGCCGACACATTCCTAATGGGGAGAGTAGAGGCATGCAAGCCAGGGGGACTTCCTTAGCACGTAGTGTGATGACAGTCATGACGGTTCTCTCCCTTTCCTGTTCCTTACTTTTCTTAGCTTTCATTCTATTTTTCCAGCTTCTTTTATTTGCACAAAGGTAAAGACATTTTTTTAAAAACTACCCCATATTCTTCTCTCATTTATATCCTCCCCTGCCTACCTATCTACTCCTTAGTCCAGTTGACTTTTTTCAATGAATATCTATGCAGACAAGCTGGCCAGTCCTGAGAGTTAAGAGTTATGGGTTGAGCCGACCTCTGCTCTATGCAGCGAGAAGCTCCCAAGCTCCTAACACCTGGCATAGGCTGGAAAGGCAAAACAATTTCTCAACGACCAGCCAGGAGGAACGAGCCAACTGGATGCCATGGGGAATCGAACCCACGACCTCCTGAGTACCACTTACGTGCTCAACCAACTGAGCTTGCCTCTAGACAGATTTTCTGCCACTGCAGA